GAAGAACTGTTAGAAGCTTGTTTTACTTATGACAATATCAAAATTCTAAATTTTAGAAGACTTAATAGAAAAAATTATTAATGATAAAACCGTTTCCTATTAGCCAACTGGGACCGTTCTATTCACTTTTCAAGGAGTGAGAATCCCAACATCAATAAAGCTATATCATTTAGACTTTTCTATATCCATTTATATTCCCCCTGTCACTCACTGCTTCGGTTGCCTTCGATATGGACACACAAGATACAATTGCGAGGGGAAAGAGAAATGCCTAAATTGTTCTAAAGAAAAACATGGTGAGGAAAATCAAGACTTTTCTTGTGAAACTTGCTGTTTCTTCTGCAAAGACAGCCACAGAGCAACTTTTAAAAACTGCTCAGAATATCTGAGATTTTTTTGTCTCTTCTATCCAAACTCAAGACAAAATTTCAATTCTGGATCGCTCATTAATTCTCAATATTTTTCCCAAAATAAAACTCATAACTCGCCTAGCACTAGTGCCCCTACTAATCTTAACAACAGAACACAATTAATAAATATCACAACTATTCTGGACTTCATTAAGAATACTTCAGAACATAACAAAAACATTTGCAGAAACTTTCTACTCTCTGGATCGGATCCGGGTTCCTTCATGGAACAGGACCTGGGGTCGAACTCTAATTAGTACAAACACCTCTTTAATCAGAACCATCAATTAGGATGACAACTCCTTTCTATACCCCCAAAATGATTAATAGAACAAATCTCAAAATAACTCAATGGAATATACGTAGTGTAAATTCAGATAGAGAAAAACCTGATCAATTTGGTAGTGGAAGAAAACCCTGATATTATTCTACTCAATGAAACCTGGCTTAACTCTGATCAAAAATTTTTCTTGAATACATTTAACATAATTAGACAGGATGGAGATGATGGATATGGAGGAGTTGCAACCTGCATTAAAAATAATATTATATTTTGTACAACCAGAAAGTATAGTTCAGATTCTATTCAATAAATTAGCATTAAAGTAGGAGACTTATTATATTTCAAATATTTACAGTAAATCTGATACTGCAGTCAGTCCAGAATTTCAAGAATACCTGATTGTAGATATTATTGATCGAAATACGATTATCATGGGAGACCTTAACTCACGCCACCCTTCATGGGATGAAATTCCTATAAATAAAGGTGGCCAAAATATTAATGATTTTTTAATGAATAATGATTTCATTGTGCTAAATGATGGCTCTAACACCCTACTTCAAAAATTAAACAATAAAACTATTGCAGTGGATTTGACTATAGTTAGTAGTCACATAGCAATTAATATATCATGGAGGGTTATTGAAGACTGTGGGAACAGTGATCACTTTCCTGTTGTTCTTACCTATGGAAATAACAATAATCAACACTTCAAAGCTAATTTTATAAACCCTTACTATTTGAGAAATTTCAGAAAAGCTAATTGGGATCATTATTATAATACCGTTTTGTCACTTACACTTTATACTAATAATTCACTGAATTGTGACGATTTTAAGGACATTGTTAATTTGGCCGCAACGGAGGCCATTCTCAATAAAAGATGTGGAACCAATGGTAAAAGGAAACCCATGGTGGGATGAGGAATGTAATGAATGGATTCAGGAAAGGAAAATTAGTATAGCCAACATCTACAGAAATCCAAATATAGAAAATTATATAGAAGTTAAACGTAGTTCTGCTTTTACTAAATTGAGACTGAAGAACAAAAGAAAAATTCTTAGAATTCTGCCACACACTAAATAGATACTCCAGCATTACATATACAGTGTGTCCACTTAAGTTCGCAGCATATGGGAAACTTTTTTATTATCAATTTTACGAAAAAAAGTTATTCTCTATAAAAGTTTCTGCTTCTTGAAAAAATAGTAATAAACTATTGAAACTTGAAATAGCATGTACAGGGTGGTCAGAAAATAGAAAAATATACAGGGTTTTTTGGTATAAGTAGAAAAATGGCACGTCACTATTTTTTAAAATCTTTGATATTTTTTTCAGATTAAGCAAGTCATATTACAGTCAAAGGATGGATACCTTTCGTTATCACAAACAAACCTGCCAAATATGGAAAAGGGATTTTTGAGCTAAAAAACCTTTTTTTTCTAAAACTTTGACACCATATATCTCAGAAACTACGAATTTCTGGAGACATGTCTACGGGAACTTTTCTTCTTAAAATATTGTAAGGAATCACATCCGAATCACATCCTGAAGCTACGAACCGTACTTAGGAAACATCCTGTATATTTTTCTATTTTTTGAGCACCCTGTACATGCTATTTCAAATTTTTGGTAGTTTAATATTAAGGATAGCCTTGAGTACACTGCTCTTTAACATCTATACAGCTGATCTGTATAAATTAAACCTGGGCAATACAAAAGTAATAGGGTACGCTGATGCCTTAGTTTTTCCTCTGAGAGGTAACAGCATTCATAATATGGTAGAAGAAATTAACAATGCGCTAGAAAGTGTTAATGATCGGCTTAAAAATAATGAACTGCCTCTCCTTAGATAAATGTGAAACAGTTTACTTTTCTAAGGGCATCAAAAAAACAAGACCTCCGGCCATTATTCTAGAGAGAGAGGGTAATGTAATAATTTACAAGGATTCGGTTAAGTACCTATCTGGCAATGCACTCCCATAAAAACCTCAAATGGGACATTCATATTGATAGAATAATCCTAAAGGCAAAAAAAGCTCTTAACATATCAAAGACAATCTGTAGAGTATGGTAGGGAGCTGACCCTACCAACCTCATAATGATTTTTCAAACCCTAGTGGTCTCTCATCTGGATTTTGGATCAATACTCATTAGTTCAGCTAGCCAACCTGCCCCAAACAAACTTAATATGGTATTTTGTGAGAGACTTCGTATTTGCCTAGGTTGTATGAGATCCTCACCAAGAGCAGCTTTATTGGCAAAAGCTGCCTTATGTGATCTGGAACAAAGAGGAAAGAACCTAACTTTAAATTTTATATCTAAAATCATCAGCATCAAAAATCACCCCATTGTAAACATTTTACTGGAGAATCGCAACACCATTGTAAATAGAACAGGATATGTTATCAATCCTAAAGTTCTCTATTTGGTAGAAATATTTCTTGAATTTCTGCCCTATGACAAGAGAATTTACAAATCATCTAATAGTCCATGTTATGAACTGGATTTTGAAACACTAACTAGTCCTATAAAGATTATAGATTGCAGACTGAACAAGGGAGAGGTAATGATTAAAGAAAAATTTAATCTGTTTTTAGGAAAACATATCACTCTATTTACTCTTGTGTATACAGACGCATACAAAAAAGATAAGCCAGTGAGGTATGGTATAACGATTCCACAGCTGAACGCTGAACTATAATTTTTTTTTTCAAGATTAGATGACATATTAAATATCTGCAAGGCTGAGATAATAGCTATCCATGAGGCAATTCAATTGGTTATCAGGAAGAAACTTAAGAAGGAAATAATATTTTCAGACTCCAAGAGTGCGAATCAAAAAATTAACTCCAATCTATATGCTGCCAAGGCTGGCTACCAGACTCTGAAAACCAAACTATCTATAATAATAGCAAACAATAATGGGTTATCACATAAATCTAGCCTGGATACCAGGACATGCTGGTATACCAGGAAATACAGTAGCTGATAAGCTGGCCAATATAGGCAGAATTTTAACAGTTCCCAAACCTATGCAATTGGATGCAATTGATATTTCTTACACTGTTAAAGCTTCTAGAAAATCTCGGTTTGTTACCGATTGGCAAACCTGAGTGCAAAATAAAAATTATCAATATAACAAAGTGCAGGAATGTTTCCCTAATAAAAGATGGTTTGCTAATATATCCCATTTAGACCGAAGGCATGTTACTACTATTATAAGAATGCGAACGGGGCACTGTTTGACTAGGGAATTGCAATATAAATTGAAATTAACATTTAATCCACTATATGAATGTGGCCAGTTGGAAAATCTCAACCATATATTTTTTAAATGACCCATTAACATCATTCCAGGCTTGAATATATATAAGGAGTTTTTTTTTCTTAAATTTCTGTCCTCCTTTTACAATATTCTCAGTAGGTACTGGCAAAACCTAACTCTGATACAATCAGCTTAATAATGAAATTTCTAAATATTAATAAAATTAAATTGTAATGTTTAATCATCAGCTAATCCATTCTTTTCCAGGGTTACCCTCCTTGTGTTGCTCCCGGTAACCTTTGTTGCTAGTTTATACTAATATTTGCCCATCATTCAGTATAAAAAAGCTTAGGTATATGTAATCAGTTATTGAGAAGTCCAAAATATACTTCAGTACAATAGTCCAAATTACACTTCAGGTGATCACGAAATGGTACATACCAGACAATAGTGGTCACACCAAATGGAGCTGGCAGATTGCCTTGTAGCAAAGCCATAATTAAGCAACAACAACAACAACCTTTATTTTTAATTCTTACATGTGTAGTATAGATCGTTGCCGATAAGTCAATTGTGTAACAAGATGATTCATACTTCATTATTTTATCAACTTTCTTCTACATTGCATTCCATCTATTTTTATAGAAAACCACATAACCTAGGTAATACATGATAATGTTATTATTCCAATAGTTTTTGAATAACTACAAATTTTCTGGTATCCCTTTTTTATCAAGATTTGAATTTTTAGTGTCTCTATTTGTCAATTGAATACATTTTCAATCCAATATAATAAAGAAGTCCAGACATTTCATGACTCCTGAATTATTATGGTTTTATTGCTAAGATGTCCATATTGGATCATTTGTTTTTAACTCCTATTAGTAAATTCTTAAATTGATCAATTTAGTGGCGCCCGAATAGGGCTGTACACAATGACTCAATGATCCAGAAGCCTCCGAACTGATGCTGACTAGTGTGTAAGTGGCAATTTTTCAAAAATTACGTGAAACAATGATTATTTTGTCGTGTTTTTTACCTGATATTGAGTACAATTGAAGCAATGCCAGCAGCAACTCTCTTTTTCGACGTATTTCTTGGCTTGACCTACAGCGCACGGCAAACTGCATACTGACTCTGGATGTTTCGGTTGGCTCAGCCTAAACTGAATTTCTGAAACAAAAATAGAGATTGATGCATATATTTAGGTCTTGTTACTTTGAGACCAGTTCTTGTAAAAAAAAAACTTTTTCTGAAATGTCAAATAAATAAATCAACAATAATTACAAAATAATGTTGAATACCTATTGTGCTAGAGCTTTATTGCAAATATATTTTCAGGGAAAGGTTTTCAGAAAAATATGTCGCCTGCCTACATACGAGATACGAGAATTAAACCGGCGAAATCGAGGACCAAGTAACCAAGTACTTCCTTCTTTGAAAAATTCGCAAGAACAAGGGGACCAACGACAGCTAGAAAAGGACAGATTCAAAAAATAAAAATAAATTGCGAGAACAAGAAGGCAGACATTTCGATGGAATGCTGGAAAAACATCAGGGCCCGCTCCAGAACGTTCTGCAAAACCAAATAACCAGGCGACTGAAAGAAAATCAGGAAAAACGGGACCAGTCTCAGAAAATTCTGCAGGAACGAACTGTGACAAAATTGAGGTGGTATATTTTATATTTTGGTAGCGTAGCGCATTCTGTCACATCTGAGATGTTTTTTGATGTAAATTATGCTCAAACAATTCCTTAAAATTGAGTAACTTTCGAGATCAGAGGCATCGATGAATAAATCCTCTTTCTTCTATTCTTGAAGTTGTTATTAAACATGTTTGTGTACTTTACTAATTTTCAGCTGAAAGATCCTGCCGATCAACTGCTGCAACTTTCCACCGATGCGACGTAGGTACTGATACGACGCGGCCTCTCACGACACAATATTTCAACAAGGATTATCTTTTCCCAATGATTAAACCAAATTTCAAATATATAAAAGGTTAATTTAGTTAATAAAATATAGAAAGAAAATTTACAGGCTGTCCCACATAAAAGTAACGGCATGTGAATTTCGGAAACAGTGAGATGCTGCATCGAAATAATAAAATATCTGCAGAGGTTTTCAAAATATCCAACAAAAACTAAAAATTGTGTTTTTCGAAAGATTGAATTATCATATTTAATAAAATTTGGTAGTTTTGTATAAGCGACTACGGCGGGCAATACGTTGAGCTCAGCACAAAAAGACACACCTCTTGGCCTAATGACAAATAACTATTATAGAACAGAGAAAACTTGGAAATTTGATGAAGCTTTCAATAGGGGGTTAACGTCCAAACTCACAATGACTACGAAATAAAAGAATGATCAATAATAACCATGGAATTACTAAATTTGAAAAAAAAAAGTATCGATAATTTCACTTAAAACTTAGAAACTTCACTGAGGTCATTGGAGTGACGAGAGTGAGAAGTTTAACATAAATTTAGAAACTGTAAAGTTGAAAATTTGATGACAACTGACTAACGAGCGCTTTTGCAATCAGCTTGTTAGTTTTTTCATGACTCAATAAATATAATTCAAATAATAATTCAAACCGGCAACGCTGTGCACCCTGTCAAAACCCATCCAGTTCAAATGTGATGGCACCCGATCAACAAAAAGGGAGTGAGAATAACGGTTTAGCCGGGCGAAAAAGAGACAGACATCTTTGCTTTAACTTGTTCTTGTTACTGTCTTGTATTCACTTGTAATTTTGGGACTTGCATTTGTATTCTGGTAGAATAAACACATAAAACGTCTCCTATTTTCTTATTAATCAATAGCAAAATTATACATAAAAAAGGTATTTTAAAACCCAGCAAAATGGAAATACAGTCCACAATCGAACAAATCAACATTTTGGTCCTTCGAGCCGGATAATTTGTGTATTGCAAGTGTGGCCTTGTGCAATAATCCGAATTTGGAAAACAACAAAACAAACGTATAGTGTTCAAGGCCCGCTCAAGGGCATAGCCGACCGTTGCTAAAAATAGAACAGCTGGAAAAAACGTTCATCACGTGCGTCGTTCCTTTTTTATTTCTTGTCCAATCAACGTTTGTTTCCTATTTATTTCTCTAGGGCGGTTTTGTTTTGTGCTTGCAAACTAATAATTTTTCTCATTTATAATTATTGAACAATATTTTAGCGCATTTGTTCGCGTATTTTTCTTTATACGGCAACTAGTAAAGATATTGTTTGTTGATGTTATTGGTTAAATTTAATAAAAAATAAATAGCTATGGAAGATTTAGACAAATTAGTTCGTAAACGAGGCTCGATTAAATCAAAGGTCACTATTTTTTCTAAATTTCTCAACACAATAGAAAATAAATTTCCCGATTATAAAATCACAGAGCAAAAATCATTCAATGAGCTTGAAGAGCGAGTTGATCGTTTTGAAAAAATATTAGACGAGTTCGAACAAATTCAAATGGAAATTGATACAATTGCAATTGATAGCCATCAGCAGCTTGAAGAGCGCGAAAAGTTTGATGCTGAATTTTACTCTAGTCTCGCAAGGGCAAAAACTTTTCTAAAAGAATCGACTGATGACGATGATGTGGCTTCACAAAATGCAAACGCAAATTTGGTAGGCGGTCATATTGGTGTTCATGGCTTGAGCTCGGGTACTGGAGCTATGGCAGTTGGCTTTAACAATAATTTAGAGTTACCAGTAATAGAATTACCTAAATTCGAAGGTAATTATGACAATTGGCTCGAGTTCAGGGACTCATTCGACTCTTTGATCCATCAAAATCAATCTATTAGCGATGTACAAAAATTTCATTATCTTCGTGCAAGTTTATCTCGTGGGGCTCTAGAAATTGTTGCTAGCCTAGAGCTTTCTAGTGACAATTACACGATTGCGTGGGATTTAATTTGCAAAAGATACAATAATAATCGCATTCTAGTGCAAAATCACGTTAAAGCATTGTTTAATTTAGACAAAATACACGAAGAGTCTTCGCTATCCCTCAGAAAAATTGTAGATAATGTAACAAAACATATTAGGGCTCTCAAAATTCTTAATGAACCCACGGAAAACTGGGACACTTTAGTCATATACTTAATTTCACTCAAACTGGACCCCATCACTGCCCGTGAGTGGGAACAGAAAAAGGCCCTTTTCAATAAACCAACATTTGAGAATTTAAAAGACTTTTTAAAGGAACGTGCCGATTTTCTGGAATCACTAGATGGTTCCAAAAATGTCAAGAAATTCACCAAAAATAAAGTAGAATTAAAAACAAAATCTTTCTTTAGTACTCAAGTATGTTGTCCCTTTTGCAAAATGGAACATTACATTCAAGAGTGTGCTAATTTCAAACAATTAAATGTAAACGAGCGTCTTATTGAAGTAAAAAAAAGAAAACCATGCATCAATTGTTTACGTCCTGGCCATTTAATAAAACAATGTCGTTCAGGTTCTTGCAAGTTTTGTAGGGGTCGTCATAACAGTCTTTTGCACATCTCTGATCCTAGCAAAAGTGCACAAGAACCTGAAGAAGCACAAAGTAACGAAAGTATAGTTTGTTCCTCAAAAAGCGTCTCAAATTTCAATAATCACGTATTATTATCAACTGTCTCGGTTCGCTTATTTGATAATAATAATAAAATACACATAGCACGAGCGCTTTTGGATGCAGGAACTCAGAGCAGCTTTATTACTTCTAGTTTAGCAGAAAGGTTGAACTTAAATTTGTCAAACATCAACATAAAAGTCTGTGGTTTAAATCAGGCTGAATCTACAATAAGACAAAAGGCTTCCTTGCACATTCAATCACTTCATAACAGTTATAGTATTAACGCTTTGTGTCTTGTAGTGCCGGAATTAACAGGTACGTTGCCTAATTTTCCTGTTGACCTTAATTCTTTACAAATTCCAGGACATTTAAAGCTAGCTGATCCAAATTTTTATTTGCCAGGCAAAGTTGACATTCTCTTAGGCGCTGATCATTTTTGGCATGTCATGTGTAGGTCAAGTAAAACTAGAAAATCATAATGCACCCTTGCACAGGACTAAATTTGGGTGGATAATTTCAGGTTCCGTTTCTTCAGTGTCTTCACAAGTTGTGCAATGCAATTTGTCTACCAATTCTGATCTTGATAAACAGCTTTCTAGATTTTGGAAAGTGGAAGAGGTTTCTACTTCTAAATACTTGTCGCGTGAAGAAAAATTGTGTGAATCACATTTTGTAGATACATTTCAACGTAGCGATAATGGTCAATTTATCGTGACAATCCCTTTCAAGGAAAATCTCGATGTTTTAGGAGATTCGTTCGAAAATGCCAAAAAACGACTTTTGTCTTTGGAGCGTAAATTTGAGCGCCAACCTAAATTCAAAGAAGCATACTCTAAATTTATCAATGAATATGCTGCTTTGGAACACATGTCAAAGGTCAAATCTGAAACTAAACAACACTCGTATTTTTTACCCCATCATGGTGTTATCAAAGAGAGCAGCCTCACCACTAAACTACGCGTAGTTTTTGACGCTTCTTGCGCAACTAGCTCCGGATATTCTCTTAATGACCTACAGATGGTGGGTGCAACTTTGCAGCCTGACTTGTTCTCAGCACTTATTCGTTTCAGAAAATATAACTATGTAATCGCGGGAGATGTAGAAAAGATGTACAGGATGGTTCTTATAGTTCCGGAACAACGAGCATTACAGCGTATTTTATGGCGTGAAACTCCTGCTGACCCAATTGATATTTATGAATTAGCAACTGTCACATATGGCACTTCATCAGCTGCCTTTTTAGCCATAAGATGCCTTTACCAAGTAGGTCTAGATTGTGCCGAAGAGTCTCCAGTTATTTCCGATATCATTAAAAAACATTTTTACGTGGACGATTTTCTTAGTGGAGCCAATTCCATAAATGACGCAATTTTTATAGCTAACGAAGTTTCTCGATACTTAGAAAGGAGTGGTTTCAGGTTACGAAAATGGATTTCCAATTCACCCGAGGTTTTAGATCATATCGAATCAAATGATAAGGTTAATTCAATCGACTTTGGCATACACGAAAATACAAAAACTTTAGGTTTGGTTTGGAGTGCACAAACTGATAGCTTGACCTATAATATCAATGATTCTATTGTGAAGCAAATTACCAAAAGGTCAATCTTATCTGAAATTTCGCAAATATTTGACCCTTTGGGTCTTTTGAGTCCTTCGATTATAATCGCTAAAATGATTCTACAGGAACTGTGGTCGGAAAAACTATCTTGGGATGAAAGTGTTCCAAACTACTTGCATAGTCAATGGTTACGATTTCGCAGTGAGTTAAAATGCTTGAATAATCTCAAAATAGATCGCCAGATCACGTGCTCGGATTCAAACAGCATCGAAATACATGGCTTCGCGGATGCGTCCACACGAGCCTTCGGAGCATGTGCTAGGTGTAAGGGTGATGACGGTGATTTTGAAATTAGTTTGATCTGCTCAAAATCTAAGGTCGCTCCATTGAAGACACAAACAGTTCCTCGATTAGAGCTCATGGCTGCTGTCTTACTTGTACAATTAATTGAAAAGGTCAAGTCCTCCATAGATGTTTGTATAAATCGCATAGTTTATTGGTCAGATTCTACCGTGGTTCTGGGCTGGCTCAAAATCGAACCTAACCTTTTACAACCCTTTGTAGCAAATCGAGTGGCAAGGATCCAAGAGTTGGTTAATACAGATAACTGGCGACATGTGCCAACATCAGAAAATCCTGCAGACCACGTTTCTCGCGGAGTGATGCCTAAGGATTTGGCTTCTCTCAACATCTATTGGCACGGACCCGATTGGCTAAAGCATGACGAATTTCATTGGCCAATTTTACCTTCCCTTCACGTAGAGCTTCCAGAATTTCGTAAAAACGTTCATACTCATGTTGAGACTTCTACCACGAATCTATCTCTTTTCGAAAGGTACTCTTATTTATCTAAACTGGAACGTATTGTTGCTTATTGTTTGAGATTCAAGGAAAATTGCCTTAAAAGGGCATCTGATAGATTTTTGGGTCCATTGCTTTACAGCGAAACCAAAAGGGCCTCATTACGGTTACTAAAAATGTCACAAATTGAATCATTTCCCAACGAAATAAGTCTTTTGTCCAAAGATCCAACTAAACTCAACAAAGGTCCGTTAGCAAAGCTATCAACATTTTTGGACAATAATGGAATGATTAGAGTCGGCGGTAGGCTAAAACACTCGGCACTACCATACCATAAAAAACACCCTTTTTTATTGTCATCAAAACATATATTGACCAAACTTATTTTCAAGCGGGAACATGTCAGCCTGTTACATGCAGGACCCCAACAAATTTTATACCATATTCGTGAAAAATTTGGGCCTTTAGCTGCTCGTAATCTAGCCAAAAAGACGGTACACAACTGTATTAAATGTTTTCGGGCTAGACCAAAAATAATAACCCCACTTATGGGAAACCTACCAAAGAGTCGAATAAGTCCTGCTCCGCCATTTTACACAACAGGTGTCGATTATTGTGGGCCTTTCCCCATCAAAGATCGAAATGGTCGCGGCTGTAAAATTACCAAAGGTTATGTTTCACTTTTTATTTGCTTTGCTACTCGTTCTATCCATCTGGAACTAGTATCCGACCTCTCGAAGAATTCTTTTATGGCTGCCTTGCGAAGATTTATTGCGAGACGTGGAAGGCCATATCAGATGTACTCAGACAATGGTAGCAATTTTGTTGCTGCTAGTTCAGATTTAAAACCTTTAGGTCAATTTTTAGAAGTTAATGCATCTGATTTGGCGGGCACCATAAAAAACGAAGGCATTGCATGGTCATTCATACCATCTCATTCACCACATTTTGGGGGCCTTTGGGAGGCTGGAGTTAAATCCACCAAACATCACCTCAAACGCATTGCCGGAAACGTAAAACTAACCTTCGAACAGTTTAATACATTGTTAGCACAAATCGAGGCCGTCCTTAATTCCCGGCCAATTTCACCCCTATCATCAGACCCATTCGATTTTAGTCCATTGTGTCCCTCACTTTCTCATCGGACGCCCATTGACTTCTGTTGCCGATCCAAATTTGCTCGAGATCAATACAAACCGTTTAGACAAATTTCAACAAATTCAGCAGTTGCAACAGCATTTTTGGAAAAGGTGGTCCCTCGAATACATATCCGAGCTTCAACAACGTCAGAAATGGTTAAAATCTGAGAGGCCACTACGTGTCAACGATTTAGTATTAATCAGCCACCACTCAAATGGTTGCTGGGACGAGTTCTTAGCGTACATCCAGGATCTGATGGAGTTGCTAGGGTGGCAACAGTAAAAACATCCACGAGCACTCTGAGACGTTCATTCGCAAAGCTGTGTCCTCTGCCGACGAATGATGAAATTTAAGTGAACCAGCATGTGCGCGAGTGTTCTCAATCGCCATTTGTACTTTTCATTTTGTTTGATGACTGTTGAAAGTACCTACTTTCAAAGCCGGGGGTATGTTAGTTTTTTCATGACTCAATAAATATAATTCAAATAATAATTCAAACCGGCAACGCTGTGCACCCTGTCAAAACCCATCCAGTTCAAATGTGATGGCACCGATCAACAAAAAGGGAGTGAGAATAACGGTTTAGCCGGGCGAAAAAGAGACAGACATCTTTGCTTTAACTTGTTCTTGTTACTGTCTTGTATTCAGTTGTAATTTTGGGACTTGCATTTGTATTCAGGTAGAATAAACACATAAAACGTCTCCTATTTTCTTATTAATCAATAGCAAAATTATACATAAAAAAGGTATTTTAAAACCCAGCAAAATAGAAATACAGTCCACAATCGAACAAATCAACACAGCTTAAATTAAGTCCAGGAAAATGCCTCCGCCATTCAGTAATTGATGATTGCTTCGCTATGCTTAGGTTTAACTAATATATTTCTTATTTTAATTTAACAATTCCAACCTATTATTGTCAAGGGTTTGAGGTAGAAATTTTCCACTACCAAAAAACTAATTTCGTTATTTATATACCGTAAAACGGGGATACTTTGTGACATATTTTGAGGTTTTTTGCAATTTTCTAACAGTTCTTTGCCACATAAAATTCTAAAAAAAAATACACTATGTATATCCGTCCTTTCGCTACAAAATGGCAATAATAGGAAATTGAAAAAAAATCATAATTAAGCTTTTTCTTAATTTGAAAGTGCCCCAATTTTACCCCGTGAAAGTCCGTTTTTACAATGAAAACATAATGTAACCCCGTAATTTTTAGTCTGAAACGATAAGAATGTCAAGAAATATTTGCTTGATAATTTTCTGATATTAAAAACACGGGTATATACTGATTTAGACATTTTAAATTTTTATTGTATATCATACGATATAGTATTTATCACCCTCATATTCAGCCAGAAATTGGGATGGGAACTCCACCAATAGGAAGTCGTCCACATTAGGAGACATGTCGATCCTTTTAGCGTTGTTTTAGGTTCCATACTAATTATATGTCACAAAGTTGCCCCGGTAGGTTCCTCTGTTTTGTTTATTATCAAAAAAAAAATGTGTCAAATTAATAAACTGTAAGCGATTTCACGTAGATATCCCGACAAGTACCCAAGGAATTGGAAAGTCTTACGAATTTTTCTGAGGAATGTTCAGATTCTGATGTACAGTAGAAAGTTTTGGGGGTTTCGAAAAAGTTGCAAAAACGAGATGTTCCCTTCGAATCAGGATGCTAGTTACCAAGGGAGCGTACCAGCTTGCCGAGCGATCTTTGTAGCGGGTGAGGTAAGTGCTTCCACCTGCCGGTAGAACAATTTGGCTTGGCACGTGGAATTTAAAATGTATTGGCTTATTTGATTTGAATTTCACAATGTCACAAAGTTTCCCCCTTGTCACAAAGTATCCCCGTTTTACGGTATACATACTCATTATAATGTGGCCTGATCTGTCATGGAAATACTAACAACGGGGATTTACATTAATTAATCTTTCGTACCCTCAAAAATACTTATACTGTTGTACCAAAAATGTGTGTTGTATTTTCGGAAATTATTTTAGGTGATAATTATTATTGTTCCAAGATACCACATGGCTTCAAAATAAAGCCCTGATTTATGTTTCACACGGGCTTTCGTCTTGTACGGGGGATTTAGAAGGGCTCTATTTTATACCTCCGTAAAATACCACTGTTTTTGAAACTAGAGGTAATACTTTTTAAGAACGTTGCAATATATCTTTCGTTAAATAAATAAATCTTAAAGATTTACAGAAAACATTTTTTCTTTCTAGAACCCCCCGACATGTGTTTAGTAGCATGTGGTTGCACTCATACGAAAATTACTAAACTATGAGGAAAATAATTATGTAATTCTTTTTCCATTAATTCTATTACAGAAATAGAAACGTTCAGGCAGGTGAAATCGAGTCAATGCTCGAAAAATTCGACAATAAATATAGAAAGCTGTGGGAGAAGATGGAGGTTAGGAGATGAGTTCCGGAAATCCACTGCTACTAAAAACAGATAAAGGGGATTTAATAAATGTTTTTGGAGAGACCTCCGTGACACTGAAAATAGGCAACAACAGCCTGAAGAGGGAGAATTGATAGTTGATAACCTAGTAGATGACATTTATCGATTGTGAATGTCCTTGGAGAGCGGGCAACGAAAAAATATTCTCGACACTTTCTGATAACGACTGTCAAGTTAAAATCATATCAACGAAGACACAAACACAAATAAAGGAAAGAGTTTTATAAATGATTTAGATAACAAGCAGCGGAATTTGATAATCAAAGCAAAAATAACAAATTGAACCTAATCAATAAGCTGGTGAGTAGAGAACTTTTAGCTCTAATTTGAATAAGAAATAGTCGCTGCTATCCATTATATTTGGTATTATAAAATAAGTTAGCGTACTTTACATTACAATGTTAAAACTAGTTTCATCAGTGGTCTATATTTGAACATTAGGAAAATTTAATAAGAAAATTATTCTAAATTATTAGAGAAGGACCCGGCTTTATCCCAAAAACCTAGGGACAAAGCGATATTTTATACTAACCAGACATATTAAGTTCCAATGCTCCTTCCAGATACTCCCCAACTCTAACCCATTGATATTTTCCAGGCTGGATTTGTTTGAAATGGATAATGTTGTAGCGAGCTGGACCGTCTCCATTTTCATCAAAGTGGAACCTATCACCGCTCAAACCTAAAATAAATAAAGAAGGTAGAAGCTAGAAAGGTTTTGTTAAAAAAATCTTTTAGAATAATGAAAGTTGGACGCTAATAGGATATTTTCGTGAACAAATCGTGAAATGGACGTTAAACTTTCTTTTCGCTGTAGACGACAAGAAGGATTAATCCGTTTCTATTTGATTTGATTATCCAATTGAAATTGGACAGGAAAAGCCAATTCTTTGCGGAGAATCTGGCCAAGTAAAATACTACGATTTGAGTTTCGTATTATTCACCTAGATCAGGCTGTATTATAATAATAGTTTATTTATTAGCTTTGGGCTACATACAAAAACAATCTCTTCTACATTGAGAGACCACAAAATCAATATAATAATATAATTCAATAAAATAACAATTCAATAAGATGACATAATAATTTACAGATATTTAAAATTTGGACACAACATATTCCCTCAACAAAGATTTAAAGTTATTAAAGTTATCACAGTTTTTTATATTATTTGGCATTTTATTATATTCGGAGAGTCCTCTATACAGAATAGAATTTGACATTTGGTTTGAGCAATACCTATCGATTAGGATAAAATCATCACAGTTTCTTGTTTGGTAATTATGGACATTCTTAAAATACTTTACTTTATCACAGACATATTCAGGTAGCAGCTTATTTCTTATTTTGTACAAAAAGACATTCACATCATAAATAATTCCTTGTCTAACCGACATAATATTCACAACATTCAACATTACGTTTACAGGAGTGTATCTGTTACATTTTAAAATTGTTCTTAGAGCTCTATTTTGAATTACTTGAAATTCATTTATCTTAAAGTTAGGTAAGTTACACAATAGTGTAGAGCAAAATTTTAGGTGGGGTGCTGCTATGCAGTTGTACATAAGGTACTTGGTATACATAGAAAGATTATTGCCAACTCTGTAAATGAACCCTACTCTTTGAGAAAATTTCCTCATGATATAATCCGCATGCTGGCGAAAGCTTAGTTCTGAATCCAAAATGACACCAAGATATTTTATTTTATTTTCATGTAGTAACCTTTCACTATTTATTTCAATATTTATGTTTTCTAAATTAATACTAGCCAATTTCTGTTTTTCCCAAATATACAAAACTTAGATTTAGAAGTATTAAGGCTCAATTTATTTTTGCACAACCATTCAAATAATCGATTCAGATCATTGTTTTAACAGTGAGTTTCATTTGGTTCAGATCATTACCAACAATATATAACATTGTATCATCTGCAAACAATTCAATATTACTACCATCAATTACGTTAACAATGTCATTGACATACATTAAAAACAATAAGGGCCCTAACACAGTTCCCTGAGGCACTCCGTAGGTTGTATTGTACAAACCAGACACCTTATTCTTATATCTAACTTTTTGAGTTCTATTAGACAGATATGATTTGAACCAATTTAAAACCTTATCCCCCATTCCTAATTTTTCCATTTTTTTCAACAATGTCAATCTATCTATAGTTTCAAAAGCTCTCCTAAAGTCTAGAAACACAGCCAAAACAAAATTATTACTATCAACAGCTTTAAGGAAATTATCACACATATTAATTATCACAGACTCACACGAATGTTTTTTACGGAAACCAGACTGATTAGATCTGTATTGTATCTGTATTGTAGTCTTTCATACATCTTTTAAATATTGTTATTTGAGAAGGAAAAGGATCTTCAACTCTATCGAGATTAATTGACAATATACAATGGTCACTGATTTTAGGGGTTAAATGTACTGCACACCTTAGATACTTGTCATTGGTTGCAATAAAATCAATCAAGGTTTGACTTCTGTCAGTTATTCTTGTTGGAGAATTGATAATTTGTGTAAAGCCATTTGTGTATATAATATTCAATATTTTATCTCCATAATATGACGTTTTTAAAAGGTCGTAATTGAAATCTCCCACAATAATATTAGTCCCATTAAAATCATTCACTCTGTCCAAGTAACCAGTAAACCAGTAAAGTACTCCAAAATCTAGCATCTTGACTATGTGGCGGATGATACAAAACAGTACATAAATATTTTCGACCTGATATAGTAACTTCAAGGGACAACAACCAAACATAGTTCTGAATACATTCATTATTCATTCATTTTAAGTTTATATTTAATGTCATTTCTTACCAATGCCATCACTCCACCAGTTCTTGGATTTGCTGATAAACACTGTTCAATTCGGTAACCATCCATTTTCAACTCTGAATAGTCAATGCTTGCTGTTACGTGTGTTTCTGATAAAAATACTAATTTCGGTTTCCAGTCATTAATCAGAACATTGATATTGTCTTTGTTATTTAAAAACCCTTGGCAATTAAAATAAACATGACCCGATTTAAAAGCGACATCCATTTCTATTTGCTATTTATTGAACTTATTCATTTGCATGTGTTCAAAACGTTTATATACATCACAGTTTTGCACATCCCAAGCTACATGATTGGTATCTAGTCTTAGTCCGTATTTATTGTTTGACATAACACAGTTTACACACCTATTTGTTTCATTAGTACAGTCTTTTAGTTCATGCTCTTCACTGCATTTTGGACAGGTAATTTTTTCTTTACATTAATATTAAGTGCCCGTATTTGCAACAATTAAAACACCTTAAAATGCCATAGTCACTGTATACTGGACAACGGTTCCATCCTATATTTATTCTTTCCATTTCAGTGAATAATTTGTGAGTACTTGTGTCTACCTCTAATATTATATTAAACCTCCTGTTAAACACTTTTGTTTTTCTCAAAACCTGTAACTTAAATTCGGCTTCCTGGGGTTGTAAGTTGTTCTCTGATTGACTATTTTTTGTACAATATCCTCAGGTTCATGATCGTACTCAGTTTCCTCAATCCCAACAACTTTTATTCGGTGCTCTTTTATTTTTGGGCGATCGACACTGTATTTATCACCAAGTTTGTTTTGTATTTGAGACTGAATACAGGGTGTCCCACGGTGGATGGCGTATTAGACGTTTATGGAGAACTAAAAAGCGGATCATTTTGAAAATTTGGCAACCGGGATAAATGACCGTGATCTACACTTTATAAATGTTTTTGTTTATGCGGTGTTGCCGCTTCTACTCTAAACCAGTGGCAACATCGCTATTTTGAATGAAACACCCCATATTTAATTGCATATTTGGATTCTACATAAAATTCTGAACAGATTTCATGTGATATACCCTATACCTAAGTTCAACTGTTTTGGAAATATTGACAGTTGAAAATTGACTTTTTGCAACTTTGACAGGCTGTAAAACCTGAACGGTTAATTTTAGAGAAAAACCGATTTTACATTCCTATCTTAGATTTTTATAAACTATCATTTGACACCAATTTTGAATTTAATCCATGATTAAAAATTTCAATTAAATTTAATCTCCGGTTAAATTCAAAGTTGGTGTCAAATGATAGTTTACGAAAATCTAAGATAGGAATGTAAGATCGGTTTTCCTCTGAAATTAACCGTTTAGGTTTTATAGCCTGTCAAAGTTGCAAAAAGTCAATTTTCAACTGTCAATATTTCCAAAACAGTTGAACTTAGGTATAGGGTATATCACATAAAATCTGCTCAGAATTTTACGTAGAATCCAAATATGCAATCACATACAGGGTGTTTCATTTAAAATAGGGATGTTGCCACTGGTTTAGAGTAGAAGCGGCAACATCGCATAAACAAAGATATTTTTAAAGCGTAGATTATGGTCGTTTATCCCGGTTGCCAAATTTTCAAAATGATCCGCTTTTTAGTTCTCTATAAACGTCTAATACGCCATCCACCGTGGGACACCCTGTATGTTCAATCTTCTGCTGATCATTGCAATTCAAAATTCCATCTTTTGTTGCCCTACCCATTGAGAGGCCAATACCGATTTCAGTTGGATTTACCTTGTTTTTTAAATCCTGTTTTACTACAGAAATATCATTTTGTGTTGATTTTTGCTTTACAAGTAATATTTTGTTGTCGTTTTTACTTTTTGGTGACAGACGAATAAGTTTTTTCCATTGTAATAGGCATAGGTCTAATATTTTCCTGACTTTTCATTCCCTTCAATTTTAATATTTCATCTTTTAAGCTGCTGTTTTCGGCTATCAAATTATCCACTTTAGTATTTAGTTCATTCGTAGTTTTTACCAATATTTCTAGCCTTGCATTATTCGAATCCACCAAACTTGCCTCCACGTAAAGATCTTCAGTACGGCTCCTTTTCCTCGGACGTTCTTGTTTGTTTACATCGGTCCCCTTAACCTCACTTAGTATTGGACTGCAAAGCTTGCATTTCCAAGTGGTTTTTTTCATATGGAACCCTCTAAGTCTAAGGTCAATATTTTCACATTTCCCGTGGTAGCACTGAGTGCAAACTGTACACTGAATCACTGTTTTAATATCTTCGAAGAGTTCTTTACACGAAAAACACTTATTTATATCGGGACTGTTCACTGCATCAACAATAACATGATCCGCCATCTTATCGCTTTTTTCCGACTTTTTACAGATTTCTAAGAACATAAATTTTCCAAGTCTATTACTACTGAGTTTAATTTCTGTAATCCCACATTTTCCTCTACTCGCAGAAATTCAACTTTCTCATAACGTTTCCATTTTCTTATAGATTTCATTCTTACAAGTCTCTGTTTCATGCTTTCTCTTGTCATGATTTCAAGAAAATTACATTATGACTGTATTTTATCCATTCTGGAAGTTTTGTATTCAAGGAAAACAAGAAAAGAAATCGTATTCGAGAGCATCACCTGAAAAACGTATACACACCCATAACCCTTTGAAAAAAAAACAAGATAAGTGTGTTTGAAACTTTTCATGTTTCACCTTCTTTGTTTTATATATGGTTCCTAAGATCTCCATGAACTATGGGTTTAGTATAATATAGTTCAAAAAGTGTGGCTTGTATCCTATTGCATAATTACCATAATTATGACCTATACTGGAAAATACTTCAAGGTATA